TCTTCAAAATTTGTCATTAAATTTCTATTATTACAGAAATGAGTTGTAGCTGCAGTATCTACGACCCAATTAAATTTATCTGCCTTTCCTCCTGTATCTGTAGTTGTTATATAATTTTCTACTAACATTAATTCTTTATCTTTAAACTGTCCATTTTTTATCGTCTATTTTAAACTTCTGATTTTTACTTACATTTTCTTTACATTTAACGATTAAGTGCCCAAATTTATGACATCTGAAACAAGGTCCTATTCTCATATTCCCCATCTTTTTCTTAGATTTAGTTTTATTTTCAACTTTATCTTTCCCTGCATTTGAACCAATAGTATTAAACACGCTTACCTTGCTGTCTTCTAAATCGGCATTTACCTGGCGAAGTCAGCTTTCTTCCCTTACCAATTCTTCAGCAATTCTTTCCAGCGTAAAATCTTCGCCCTTCCACCTATAGATCAACTGTACAAAGTATTCCGAGGGTAATCTCCTTATTGCCTGAAATCCTTTAAAAAGATCTGCCAAATTGTGACCAGCTTCAGCCAACTTCTTTGCAGTCATTCTTATCCTCGCGATGAATAATCCTATTTCTTCATTTGGCATATATCTAATACTAAAAAATTCATTCAGTAACTGAATTATCCTTGCTCTTGTTTTGGGTTCGAATTGTTTCTGTAGAACTTCCCATGATTCTTTACCACTTGAACATTCTTGTATCAGCTGTCTGAACTCAGTTTTAATTTCATAATATAATGTAGTGAAGGCTCTGTTCTCTCTCAGTGTGAACTCCTGCTTTTCACGCCTTGTTAAACTTTTATCTAATTCTTTTTCTTTATCTTCTATGAAGCTCCAACAATTTCTATCCAGTAACAGCATTTTCATGTCGACTTTCCATCGATCCCAGTTGTCATGGTTTAACAGCTGAAAACTTCAGGTAGTAAGGACATCTTCAATTAAGTGTGAGCACAACGACTTGAACAAACTTCTAAGACAGGTATGCTTCTTTTTGTGGATAACGGCCCTCTTCACATACATTCCTTCAATGATGAGTTGAACTGGATGACCGATTAGCTGTTGGCGCTGGGCCCATAACCCTGTCGGCAGTGGTGATAAAGGCAAAGTGTATTTTGCTTCCCTTAAATAAAGCTAAGACTAATCTAAAGAAAATTAATGCTTTATTCTGTAAATTAAAATAAAATAAGCTAACACTGTAGCTTTTACATTTAAAATCATTGAGTGAAAGAAAACTAGCATAATGCTAACTCATAATACCAAGAGAACAAGACATTTGTTGATACCGGCGTACATATATATAATACTCGGCCAATCAGCGGCAACCACGTTAGCTTACCGCCGATTGACCTCCAATCAAAATTTGCATGTGGAAAACTAAAGCCAACAAAGCATACATTACACATAGTCGAAATTAGAAAATTGCAACCAGAAAACTATTTGATGTGTATTCGTGATATTTATAATGACGAGGAAATTGATTTAAATCATATCAAAGATGGAGTACATCGAGATAAAATACTACTCTTAGTAAGGAATTATAAGCCGAATAAAATAAAAACATCTGCCCTGAAGATGAGGATAGTGCTGACAGATCAACAGTTCATTGCGCACCGCAACCACAGAGCAGCGTGAAATTGATGAACAGATTTCAGAATGGTTAAAGAAACAAACCATTTAGCCAAGCTGTTCTGATTACGCAAGTAATATGCTAAGTAGAAAAAATATGCGGTGTTCATTTAGACTATGTCTGGACTTTAACGACACTTAAAACTTGGTGAATCCCTTTCCGAATATTTAATTGCCATGTGTGAAATAGCCAGTCGCGATTCTGTTGATGTTTCATCATGATGATGTAATCAATGGGATACCGGATCAGAGTAGTAACAAAATTATTTTGTATGGGTGTAAACCTATTTCTGAATTCAAAGAGAAATTAAAAATTTATGAAAAAAAATCCGCATTGCAGATACGAAGAATAAGGGTTATTCAAGTACTAACACACAAAATAAAGCACGCACTATACCTAATAAGAGTAAACGTAAAACATACAAAAAAAAAAGGTTTGTGGCTTTGAAGTCCGAACTATAGATCATTCTGGATTACAGACTTTGTACTGTACAATATTAATGTTCAAATGAACAAGGAAGCAAGGCAATGCAGTGACAGATTTACCTTTAAGCAGGGTGTGTCATGAGGAGGCCTGTCACACCCTAAAATCTTGATATGTAACTACGACCATATTTAGCCCTTATATGCCTTCCAGTGGGAGGTACTTCAGATTTCTCAATGGACAAGAAAAAAAAAGCTATATAAGACTAGAGACGGAGTATTTAGTTCAGCATGAGTTCAGAGTATTGAGATATCTCAGTAATCCTAACTCTTTAAATGTGTTTTACACTGTGTTGTATTAAACATCCTCAATAGTTTGAAATGTAGCTACTGATTGTGCTCAGTGATACTGAGAAGAACTGTATGAGTAGTTTTGTGGGAAGTTCCAGAATTGTAAAGTGTTCTTTTTTGTAAAATAAATTTTATCAAGCTATTATCAATTCTCTATGCATTCAATTTATTACAAACCCATATTCATGCATTAAAAAAAGAAGCCAAAGAAAAGAAGGTATAACAGCAGTTTTTCTCCTGACTAACTCAGATTTTTGTATGTCTCTTTCAAACACTTGCCGATTAGGGAATTACAGCATGGACAATGCATTGATCAACATTAGCCATGACCATGCTTTTGGCCCTTTGGTGGTTGTGAAGAGGGGGTTAGCATTTTTCTATCTGACCTAAACAATGGGTGAAGCCCCAAGACATAATTGTTTGGAACGGGATGTTGCTCATACTAGGTTTTCTTTTGTTAACATAACAGTGGAAAGGAAGGAAAGAATTAGTTTGTAAAGAGCTTAAGTTCAGTTAATAAAGCAATTGCTCATACTGGTTTTCTTTTATTTTCATAGAAGACAGGAAGAGGGAAAATATATTCTGAAGAACATAAGTTGTTAACAAAATTGTTAGTAAATTTGTTAACAAAATTGTTAGTAAAATAAGTTGTTAGCATATTCTGCTCTTCCTTAATTTCTCATTTGATCCAACTTATTTTTTGCAGGCTATTATTATTAGATTTCTTATCAAAATTAAAGTTCAGTTTTTCAAGTATATTGAAGAAATTTTCTAATTCTGGATCTGTGGCAGGATCTGCAAAGCAAAAATATATTTACCACTTGCTTTCTATAGCAGTCTTGGTGCAAGAAAATGGCACTGGTGGGCTTAAGAAAGTAAGATTTCAAAACTGGCAGAACAACCTTATTTTGGCATAGCCTTTTGCATGCATTAAGAAGCAAAATTTTCCTAATTAATGGAATTTGTGAAGAAATGCGGAGAAGTGTTAATGAAGGATCATATAACTGAAGATTTCCATTACAATGATAATGTCACAATCAAATAACAAACTGCAAACTGTGTTGTAGGATTTTAAGTCCAGAAAATGTCACTACCAATAGTGAAGAAAGTGATAAAGAGGCTTTTGAGAATGAAAAGATTTCAACTGATAGTTTAGTGGGAATTCTCGACACCGCAATTGCAGGACTTCAACAGTAGAATTTTGCAACTAAATAAGAAATTGTCTCTCTATAAAATTTAAAAGAATGTATTAGGACAAATAACTAAGCAACTTATACAACTAACCTTGACAGAAATGTTTAATAAAGCAGATAAAAAAATTTTTGAGCTCTTTTTAATTTTGATTCCCTTAAGATCATAAATAGTCCATTATTTCATAAACGAGTATTTCACATTTTTATATGTATTTCTATATGTAATACTATATGAATTCTATATGTATTTTATATGTATTTCTATATGTAATATCAATCGATTTAAAATATGGGATCACTGAAGTCCCAATGATTTCAGATTTTCCACTGTACTTTGCAAATTACCTTTACTGCTGGGTGAATATAAAAGTTCTATACATAATGTTATAGATGCAACTTGCAGTGCATCTATAACATTATTATCTAGGCATTTAATAAAAAGCTTGTTTTGTGGGATTTTCCTTTGGAGGTTGCTGGTTTAAGTGTAATAGTAAGAAGTACTTATACACATTTACACAAAACTTGTCATTCATGACTCATGTCTTAATGAAATGGGTATAAGAAAGGTTTTGTTTAATTTTTTTTATAGTCTTATTATTAGTTCACTTAAACAATTTACTTGTAACTGATAATCAGAAAGCTACTTTTTCCCCTTTTGCTTCTTTTAACTTATAACATCTGCTGTTGAAGGAATTTAAGTTTTCAAATTCCTATTCCTCCACTTCATTTCTGTTATATTAATTAACATGTATGGGTAAAGGGAACGGGAACTGTGTGAGGGGAATGGAATGATCATGTGCATTATATGGAGATTGTAACTTGAGATTCATTTTTCCAAAGTAGCAGATTATAATTCACTAGATTCACATTACATTTGCTACAAGAGCAGAAGCAGTTATTGATCTATATATTTTCTAATATTAAGTGCTGAAATCAGATGGTATTTGGTTAGTATATCTGAATTGTATTTTTTTTTTTTTTTTTTTTTTTTTTTTTTTTTTGTAATTCTAAATTTTGGCAAATTTCTAAAAGCCATCAAAAGTAATTAATTGCTGACATTCTTTAAATTAAAATCTGTAGATGATTTCAGTTTTTTGTTTGTTTTTAATTCTGTAAATAATTTTCTTGTTATTTATTTAATTTCTTGGTGATGAGCTTTCTAAAGTATAATGCTGCAGTATAAAAGTATTTCTGCAAATTTTAAAAATAATGATTGGTAAATTTATAATAGAATTCAAATCTTTGAATTAATTATGAATTTACCTTAATATTCTTCCATCTCATGTGTCAGTGCGTGTTGTTATGTAAGAAAAAGAACAAATGCTTCATGGAAAAATGGTGAATAAGATTCTGATACCTTGATGTTACATTAACTTTGTCAATTATTTTGATTGTTTCTAGAGTAAAGAGTATGTATTTAAAGGGCATGGTGATAGTGTTGATCAGTTATGTTGGCATCCTACAAATCCTGATCTGTTGGCTACCGCAAGTCTTGATAAAACAGTAAGAATTTGGGATGCCAGGTTTCAAAAGTCTGTTGCCACTGTTCAAACTAAAGGTAAGCAAATTTTATTCAAATATTTTTTATATATGTATGGATATGTATAGTAAAAACTAAAAGTTGAAGAAAACTGTGTCCTTATTGAAATAAACTTTGATACTTATATAATAACTCAACTAAAACAAAAACCAGAATATTTTAGAATTGTAGAAAATTTTACCACAAAAAAAATGTAATAGATGAGAGATTTGTAATGCTATTATAGAACTGTTAGTTTTATTCACACATGTGCAATGTCGTCAAACAGTGTGGTTTAGCACCAGTAATGGATGCATATGATGTCGCAACACAATCATAAAAAGTTCATTTCGGCGTAATGTAAAGTTACTTAATTCTTGATATGCCAATTTAATTTTTGTAATAATGGATATAAATTCTATTTCTCCTTGCATTTTGCAAAATAGTATTAATATTTTAGACTGTATAAATTTGCTACAAGACTACAATATTTTTCATTAAATGGTGAAAGGCAACAACTACTTTAAATTATTTTTGTGCTGTGAAGTGTGTGACAGAAAGAAAAAAACAAAATCTGCTTGTAAATGAGTTTATCAATAAGTATTTGATTAAAATGCAAAATATGTATGCAATAATTTATTTATTTATTGCAATTAATAGTTATCTCATTTTCATCTTTAAAAGAATCGTTGAACTGCACCAAAGTGGTTGTGGTAAGTGCTGTAAATGAATGACATTATAGTAGTTCATACCATGTGAAGTTTTTATGTTGCTGCAAACATACACAATATAAGTCTATGTCATTAATATGAAACAAATGAGGAAATCTGGTGAAGTGGAAAAAAAAATAGATGCGATAAAATAGATGAAAAAAATCTACAAAAAGTAGAAGTTGTGTGTCATGCACTTTAGAATCTGACCCTTTTTGCTCTCGTAAACCTTGTTAGATCCCAAGGCACCTGGCCACTTCTCACACAGGTGTAAAAGAATACCAGCACAGAAGAGTAAAATAATCCTTTATTATTTGTCAAACTCTGAAATACAATAGTACTTCGTGCTTACAATAGCATTGACAACTTGTGATGGAACTTAAGAATAGTTACACAATAATTTCAAAGATAAAGAGTAGTGCTGGACTAACAATTTAATTTAAGGCTAACTAAGCTGATTCAACAACCTACCCTGCGATGTACTTATTAAATGGCCAAAAAGGCTTATCATAAACTCAGCATAACAGCAAGGATAAACTAGTATTGTGCACTGGCTAGTGAAATCATGCTCTGAATAAACTACAAGATTTGTCTGACATTATACTCACTTCACTTAACTTTAAATTTGCATCCTTGCGAGGGGAAAATGAGAGGTTCGGGAAAGGCACTATTTGTCATGCAAAATAAGGAAAACCCCTACAGCGCCATCTCATTAGGAGGATGCAATACATAATATACAGTAAACCATAATTATGCAATTCATTTATTTTGTGAAATGCTGTTTCCTATATAGCAATAATTTTAATCCATCCCAAACCCCAGTCAAGTATGACTTGCTTTCTTCAGGGTTAATATAACAAGAAATATTTTCATCCTCACTTCTGTGCTCAACAAATGTATCTTGATGTAAAAAAAAAAAAAAAAAAATATTTTCATATTTATGTTAATGGTGTTAACATGCATTGCATGGGAAACTGATTGTTAGTGGTTTGTTGTGGGAACATTTTCAGCCTATTCAGAACATTTCAGATGTTCTTTACACAAAGCATCACTACAAGTTCTTTACACAAAGCATTACATGATCCTTAGGTGGTATTTAACTCGTATAAGTTGGTTGAGAGTAAATGAGATTGCTTTCATTATTGTGAATAATTGTAAAAAATCTATATCTATCATGAGCAAACTTGTAATATATGTGTCTATTTTCAGGAGAAAATATCAATATTTGTTGGTCGCCAAATGGCCAGACAATAGCAGTAGGCAATAAAGAAGATTTGGTTACTTTTATTGATGTCAGAACTCACAAAGTTATAGCTGATCAACAGTTTAAGTTTGAAGTGAATGAACTTTCATGGAACAATGATAATTCCTATTTTTTCCTCACTAATGGGCAAGGATGCATTTATATTTTATCGTAAGTTAATTTTCATTTATTTAAGATTTTTTCAAGTGTGTAAAGTTATGTTGCTGTGCAACTTCTGCATTCTTGAGCAGGCTTTTTCTTATACTCAATTTACTTGACCCTCCCAATTTATTATGTTTTTCATTAAATTATTTGTATATTGTAAGAGTTGAAATGACCGTGATTATTTTTTCCTCTCCTGCCATTTTAAGTAAACATTTTGTAAATTTCCTGATCACGTGATTTTCAATTTGTCAAAATTTAAATCATCTCTTTCAGATATAAATTAAAAACCAATAGTTTCAGTTAAAAGTTCCAATTAAAAACCAAGAAATAGTCCAAAGGAAAAAGTCCAAAGATAAGAAAATTCAGTCTTTTCTGAAATAATAATAAATAAAAAGAATAAAATAATATAAAAAAATTAAAATAATAAAAAATTATAAAGAAAATTCAGTATTTTCTGATTATTCATACTTTCACTCCCAAAAAGTCGCCAACCTTCGGAGACTAGTTTTTCACAAAGCTAAGACAATAGCCATTTTCAAAAAATGTCAGTGCACTAAGAATTACATAAAAGATCAACAATTTAACAAAATTAAAAATGCAAGAAACATCCCTAATAAAACATCCCTTCTGTGTGTATTGTTCTCATATATGCAGCAATCTATTTGAACTTCAAAAAACATCAGATAATTGTGGAAATTCAGAATCATGCATAACTTGGTTTTGTAGATGCTTTGTCTCCTCATGTGCACAGTGATATTTTCACTTTAAAAAAAGTCAGAGAATTGCCCAAATTTTGATCCATAAAATCGTTTATCAAGTAGAACTTCATTGAATGTTAATTTTTACTTCCTGAAGAAATGTAGTGCAGCACTTTCTCTCTCTCCTTTTTTTTTTTTTTTTTTTTTTTTTTTTTTTTTTTTTTTTAATCAGCTAGCAGACTTTATAGTCCTGACAAGGGGGGAAAAACAGTGTACTTGGTGCTTTCACCCCTCCCCCCAAAAAAACACTATTGACCATTGTCAATGCAACAAAAATAAACATTTGCTGCATATTGAGTGTTGTCTCATGAATACTATCAGAGTATGCAGATAATCAGAAAGTACCAAGATTCTTGATGACAAAAAGGGAAAAATGGGAAATTATTGTAAAATTTAATATTATGTCGCAGATTTTTGAATAGTTCATATTTATTTATATATATATATATATATATACATATTGGTGACTTCACTTTTTTTCTAGTTATCCAGATTTGCAGATAAAACATATATTAAATGCACATCCAGCAAACTGTATCTGCATTGAATTTGACAAAACAGGAAAATACTTTGCTACTGGCAGTGTCGATGCATTAGTTAGCTTATGGGATGTAGAAACTTTAGTCTGTGTGCGAACATTTTCTCGGTAAGTAAACTGTTGAATAATTTGAAATATTGTTAATATTTATGCAAATGTATACCATATCTATCAATTTTACAAAATGTGTGATTTCATTTTTAAAAAAGCTTGCAGAGTGTGTTAACACATTTTTGTAACAATTTTGATTTTCTCCATGGATTTAAATATTAATTTTTAAGATACAAGCATGACTAGTACCAAATTGGAATAAGGTTTAATTATCCACTGCAGCACTAAAAATATACTTTTCTTTAAAATGTTGCTAAAAAATAAATAATTATTCAAAGGCTATATTTTTGCTCTGTCTGAAGAGAAATAGTCTTATTCAGTTATTAAAAAGGATGTGAAAAGCATGGTTTTAATATTTCCACAGGTAAAGTAAGTGTTATAATTAATGTCACATTAAAGAAACATCGAAGTTTACATGACTGAGAAAAAGGCAAAAAAGTGCATACCCAACAAAGATACATACAACTCTTGTTAAAAACTAGCCCCCCCCCCCTCCCCACATACACAAAGAGCTATTGCAAAATATTTAAATATCTATGTCGGAACTGTGAGCAAAGTTATAAAATCTGATTTGAAGCTAATTAAAACAAAACAAAAAAAAATGATGTTCATTGCCCTAACGCGTAAATATAGTTACAATACGTGAGGCTAGGATATACTTATTTGACTGCAATAGAAAAAAAAATCTAATATGTTGATTCAGAAAAAACTTAAAGGTTTTATGGTTATTACTGGATTCTCTTGTAACGGAAAACTTATAATAGCGAAAGTAGAAAAAAAATGTCAAAATTATTTCAGATTTCTATCTGAAATATATTTTAACATCTATTTTTAATTTCTATTTTTTATTCCATCTCTTTATCCAGACAATCTTCACTGTGTTAAGTTCCATCAGGAGAAGGCTCCAAGCCATACCTCTAAACCTACTGCTTTATTTTTTGAAAAAATTGGGAAATGAAACTGGAATTGAAGCCTTTGAAGCACTGTTGTGTCTGCTATAGATTACCATGCATCTGAACTTTTAAAACAAGCTCTTTATAATCAGCATCACAAAACATTGGATGGACTAAAATCAACGTTGATGCTCTAAGAAAGAACCTTTGTCTTGGAAATCAAGATGTAATATAGTTCAACAAAAGGGCTATCAGACTGAACACATTAGAAAATAATATTCTAAGGTTTGTATATATACATCGAAGGGCCTTTAAATTATGACCATCCTGTTAATAACATGTAGGACTCCCTTTAGCATGTAGCACCTTTAGCCTGCCAGCACCCGGTGTGGCATTGACTTCACAAGGGGCTGATATGTAGTCTGTGGTATCTGGTACCAAGCACTCACCAACTGGTCCTCCAATTCCCGCACATTGCGAGGGGGTAGCTTGGCAGCATGAATTTGGTTTTCCAGGTGGGACCACGAATGCTCTGTTGGGTGAATTTGGAGGCAAGACATGACTTGAAAATCACTGGAATGTTCCTCGAACCACTCCCTGACAATTCAAGCCCTATGACATGGAGCATTATCTTGTTGGTAAACACCATCCCCAGCTGGAAACACTGTTGTAATAAATGGGTGAACCAGGTCTGCAACGATGTTCACGTAGTGCACAGATGTCAGGGATTGTTCTATGGGGATTATGGGCCCTAATGGGCTTCATGAAAACATTGCCCACACCATAATAACCCACCAGCTTTTCTCCGTCCAACCGTTCATCTGGGAGCCAGGGTTTTGTTTGGAAATTGCCATATTAGCACACGTCCGTCGATGTGATGGACAGAAAACATGATTCGTTGGACCATGCGACTTTCTTCCATTCTTCTAATTTCCAATTCCGATGTTTCTTGGGCCATTGCAGACAAGCTGGCGATGACGTGCCATCCATGCAGGGACATGCTTCGCCCTGCGACTGTGTAAGCCCGTACGCAGCAATGTGCGCTGCATAGTGTGTTGAAAAACACTGTCTGGGTCACCAGTGTTGTAGCTGATGGTGATTTCAGCTGTTGTAGCTCTTCAATCATGGCAAACAATGCATAGCTAGCTCGGCACTTTCGATATGTGTTCACAACAACTGCACGTGAACAGCCCACTGAACATGCCGTTTCTGATATTCATGTTCCCAGTCGCTGAGCTATAACGATTTGACCTTTATCGAAGTCTGATAAATCAGCCTCTTTTCTCATTATGTTGCTAATTGCGCTATGTTTGGAAAGACAATGCATAGCCGCTTTATATATTCCAACATCAGCCTTGCACGTGCAGTGTTTTGGTTCCTGGGTGAGCCCATTGTTATAGATGAAGGGTGGTCATGATGTAATTGCTCTTCAGTTTATAAATCTTTCAAAAATCGTTAGAAAAATGTGGGAGCACCATCTGTATGTTTGAGATTTTATGCACAAAATTACATATTTTACAAATTTTGAAATTTTTTTATTGTATTTGTAGATTTCTGGGATAAAAAGTGCCAATCAGAACACAAAAATTTTTTTGACAGCCATGATTCTGCAACTGTCATAAAAATAGCTTCAAAATAATTTTCTCAGTTCTTGTATTTCTATTGCCAAAGATTCAGCAAGATAGACAGTTATGTTCATCTTTTCTTTTCTTTTTTTTTTTTTTTTTTTTTTTTCTTTTATTATTATTATATTATTATTATTGCTTTGGATTAACCATAATTTTGAGTAGCTGGGCATGTTGTTCCTAGATTTACCTGGTTAATTAGGAATTGAGTGTATTACCATATATACTCACATCCCCCATGTTTTTTACTAATTTTATCATATGAAAATCAAGAGGGGGGGAAGTTATGCAAATAATTAAATTTTCGAAGAACATGGTTAAGGTAAGAACATAACTGAAAAGTATTCATGTAATAGATTACCAATAACTCTCAGAGTATTATCTATTTAAAAGAAACTACATTGCAATAAGAATCATGGTAATATTAACATTACAATATCTAATAAGGTATCTTCATTTTTACTTTCCTGTATCATAAATCTTCCCCTCTGTTATTGCCGTCCACTGCTATTCTCTAGGTCTCAATTCATTCTTTGTTGCTGGAACTTCTGTCATCTATACCTTGCAAGTTGTTGCCAAATTTTCGAAGAACATGGTTAAGGTCAGAACATAACTGAAAAGTATTCATGTAATAGATTACCAATAACTCTCAGAGTATTATCTATTTAAAAGAAACTACATTGCAATAAGAATCATGGTAATATTAACATTACAATATCTAATAAGGTATCTTCATTTTTACTTTCCTGTATCATAAATCTTCTCCTCTCTTATTGCCGTCCATTGCTATTCTCTAGGTCTCAATTCATTCTTTGTTGCTGGAACTTCTGTCATCTATACCTTGCAAGTTGTTGCCATTGTCATCAACATTCAGTCTTTCTTTGTGAAATGATTTTCAGGACCATCAAGAAAATTAGATATCCCTCTTTTCTTGAAGCACTTCACTAAAATTTTTCATCAATCAGAGTCCATGCATCCAAAATCTGCAAAGTTAGTAAGATGGGAGTGGGGGGAAACACTATATTGACAAACCTATTTTAAAATTTAGGGCAGCTTAATTTCCGAAAGCCTTGAGGAAGGTGAAATATGTGAATATTTAAAAAATTTTCAGAATCTTGTGCTAAAACATTAGGGGTGAAATACAAGAGTAAAAATGGTCAGTTTTGTGAATAAGAAGAAACTTTTCTGGTACGTAGCATGATTCTAATAAATTTTAAAGTTAAAAAATTGTGTATGAAGTGGATATCGGTGATTTTTCGAATGTCATTACTACTATATCAAAAGCAATTTTAAAATACATATTGCTCTTGATGTATTGTATTTCATGTTACAAAATTTATGAAGTTAGTATTTTATTGCAGGTTGGAGTGGCCAGTGCGCACGATCAGTTTTAGTTACGATAGTTGTATGCTTGCTTCTGCTTCGGAAGATCATCTAGTTGATATTGCTGATGTTAATACAGGTAAGTCTGAAATGAAAATTGAACCCTCAGTCTGCCTTTTCTCAGGGGTGAATATGTGTGTAGCATTGTTGCATAAAAAGTAAGTGCAGTCAAATACTGAAAATCCGCCGACCTGAAATCCGCGTTGCCTCTCAGAATATAAACATTCAGTTTATAGGTTCCGGAAACCACAACATTGAGTATGAAATATCAAAGAAAAAATACTTACCGAATAATGACGTCATAATTTACCGAAAAATAATGAGTCAAAACGGAAATACCAAATTATTGACATAAAAAAGTTAAAAAAATAAGATAAAATAAATAAGTTTTTTCCCCTGTCTAATCTGCATCGAGGTAAAAAAGCAGACGATTCACTCAACTCTTTGTTCAAGTTCACGATTCACGTTGTTGTATTTTCTGAGCTTTGTTAATTCATTTCACGAGATTGTTAGTGCTGCCTTTTTTTTTATCCGGATATTTTGTGGATAAATTAAGAATATTTTAAATTTCAGCCCTTTTTAATATAACGACAGATAAGAAACGCACTCGTGATTTTACTGCTTGCAACGTTGAAAAACGTAAACACGTCGCATTGACGGTAACACGAAAAGTGTAAATTCTGCAAGAGATGGAAGCAGGTGCTACTCCTCAATTTATAGCAGAATGGTATGGAATTGCGACGCGATTGTGTATGATATACGGAAAAATAAAGAAAAGCTGTTGAAATTTTACAGCAACAGTGATTCTAACACCGGAATTCAAAACTGGAAATCTTTGCATGAGGCGAAATCGGCAAACCTCGATGCTGTGTACATATAATACAATGAATAATGTAATCAATTTATATATGTAATAATAATTTAATGCATATAATAAATTATTGCAATAATGTATATAATAATTTAATTTAATGTATCTAATACACCATTTTGCACTTTTAGTCCGAATATTATGCTTTATCTTTTGTCCTAAAATCTGCAAAATCCTAAATTCCGCACAACCTCTGGTTCCAAGTTTTCCAGATTTCTGGAATTCTACTGTAGTATAAGGTTAATAATGCAACTTTGTTTTAATGGTATACTGAAGGGTCTTTTTGTACCTCTATTCATGGTCTATTACATTATCAAGAAAGAGATCTCCAGTGATGAGTTTCTGCTTGAATCCATCTGCAGTCATTTCTGTAACATGATAAAGTTGGTGGGTGGTGGAGTGCTTCTGTCTGAAACCATATTGCTGTGGGATGAGAATGTTGTTATCCTGCTGGAAATCTTAAATCCTTTTCAGTATGACCGCTTCTGCAATTTTGCTCAGAGTCGATGAAAGGCTTATCGGCCTGTAGAATGCAGCCAGAATGGATTTACCTAGTTTCAGAATCGGCGAAATGATTGCTGTTTTCCAATTGGTCGGAAAATACTGCAGTTTTAGCATGCGTTTAGAAGTTTGGTGAATTTACATAGTATCTTTGCACCCATCTCTTTGATCATTTTGGTGCTGATCTGGTTTTTTCTCTTCTCGATATAACTAATAACCTCTGAAGGCATAATTAAGGGTGTGTTGTTTGTGTGTGTTCTTGATTGGAACTGGGTAATGAAGGACATACTGAGTGTTCTGTTTGAGGGTGGGAAATGTGTGTGCGAACTTGAGAAGCATAGTGATCTGCAAGACTCGGCTTTCTCAAAATCAGTGTAAGGGATCCCATTCAGGCTGTTAATGGGCGGAATGTTCGTGTTGCATCGTTTAAATTTAGAAACAGCACTCCACAGAGAATTATCATCTGTAGAGAGTGATTCTAAATGTCTGGCCCAGTCGAGTTGTGCATGTTTTTTTAATAGAGTCCTGACTTGTTGATTGAGTTGATTTAATAATATTTTATCCGTGGGACATCTGAAAAGTTGCCATTGCCTGCAAGCACGGTTTCTATTTCTAATCAGCTTTCGAATGGATATGTTCTTGCATCTCTTGTCATCTCTCACAGTTTTGCTGTTACTTAATAATGCATTATGGAGTTCATCAGTGAATTCCTCTGTGATGTCTAATTTATTTCTTGATTGTATTGTATTGATAGGGCACTGGTTGTTGTTTAGAGCTTTGGCATATCCTGCCCAGTTAGTAGTAAGAGCTCATTTGTGTGGTGTACTGCAGGAATTGGTAGTAATTTCCATCATTACTGGATTGTGGTCCGAGGGCATTTCTGACATAACTCAGAGAGTTAATGTTTTTCAGAATGAAAAAGTCCATAATAGATAGTCTACCTATCCCATAGTATGTTGGTTTAACTGGGAATGCTAGGTTAATATTGCTCGCTTGGGCAACGTTATGAATTGTGCAGATTAATATCCCAGCAATTCCATGCACGGTGGTGTGCGTTAAAGTCTCCACCTATGGTAGCTTGATTTTTAATGGTTAATAATGTTTTTAAATCGGTTTTCACAAAATTTACGGGTGTGTGTATAGGAAAATAAGTTGAGATAATGGTGATTGGTCGTGAAATGTTCAGCGTGAGTGTAATAGCTAAGGATTCAGTAGCTAAAAGCTGTGGTAATGGTGTGGCATAATGAGAAATGGAGCGCTTAATTAAAATTAGCAGACCTCCTCGTTCATTGCCTCTGGCTGCATACGTTCCATCAATTAGTCTGTACCAGCAGTGTGTGACATAATTGCAGACTCTTAAATAGTCTTGGAGCCCAAGCCTATATTCATGTAGGAGTGGAATATTAGGGGAAAATTCATGTAAGAACACCTTAAGCTAAGCTTTTTGGAGTAATTCATTTGCGTTGTAAGTAATAATAGTAAGAGGCATATTCTGATTAACCTGATATATTATTATGAATTTCATTTACAATTTCATAAAACATAAAAAGTTTATCAACTGAATCAGATAATTCTTTTAGTTTAGATAAATAATTTTTAAACACATTATTCATTTAGTCTAATATTGTTAATGCCTAATATATTATTGAACTCGGATATATTTTTCATAAAGCTTATGAATTCTGAGCCTTGTGGCTTCTCTCGAGTATTTTGCATAACATTTTCATGCGAGTTCATATTTGATGTACTGGCATTAGATATATTCAGATTTTTTAAAGCATTACTAAGATCAGTTAACTTAATATTATTAGTAGCCTTTGAGGGCTCAATTTGTGCTGCAGAAGCCAATTTTGGAGTATGAGTGTTTGGATTTTCATAGAACATACGCACCTGGTTTTTTTGCCATGTCTGCAAATGAAATGCCTTTTTTTAACTGTGCTATCTTTCCCCTCCCCCTTCCTTTTGTTGATTCTATTCCTGGGAAATTTCTTACAACCACGGTACGAGGCCACATGATTTTTTAAACAGTTCACACACTTTGGTTATTTCATCTTTCCTTTTGGGCAGTCCATAGTTTTACGATCAAGTGAACATTTTACACGGCATGGAGCAAAATGATAATTTTCCAAAGAATGATGCCACTTTTGGCAATTATTGCACCGTGGCACCTGATTCTTGGATACATATTTTTCTACAGTGTCTGTGAAGAGTAGTAAATCTGAAACGTGAAAGATTTCTTCAGCCATGTCATTCTTGATAACATGCACTAAAAAGAGAGGCATGGATGCTTTGTTTCAGTGTCTTGTGAGTTGGGTGACTTTACTTATTCGAAATCCTTTGGCAGTCAGAGCGCTGACAATGTAATCTGTTTTTGTGGTTAAGGATAAACCTCAAAAAACCACTCGATTGGTCTTGCATAGTTTGCATTGATAATGTAGTGCTCTACTTTTTTTTTTTTTTTTTTTTTTTTTTTTTTTTTTTTTTTTTTTTTTTTTTTTTTTCCCAGAAATAATGTGGTTAGTAGTCTATAATCATCAGCAGTGCATTGCAATATTTAAAAAAAGTTCTCCGTTCATGTTCCCTAAGAATTTGGCTTCTGTTTTCGTAGATAATTCTTTTAAAAAGCCCTCATGAGTTAGTTTTCCTGGGTTGGCCTAATGGAGGGATAGCCTGTGTCTGGCTGTTGGTCGGCTGCTGCTGCACCACCTGTTTGCCTGGGTTAATACTAATATTTTCACTTTCAATATTAACAGAATTATCGTTAAGTATATGAAATCTATTGACAGTTTCAACATACAAAGATGCATTTTCTAACCTCTGCTGCTTAGCAGTTTTGTTAGGTAATTTAAATCCATTAGTATCAATATTAATAAGGCTGCTACTCATTTTCCTTTTAGATTTGCTCTCCTCACTTTTTCTTTTTAAGGTGGACAAAAATTTTTTTAAAAAAAATTAACTGGGGGAACAATGCCTGAGGAACAAGTCAAATTGCACTTACCTCTTAAACCCGCTGCCTGAGCCTGGAGGGTTTGCAGATTTTTCAGCATAATATCCATAGTGAGGTCAGGATCCAACACTGGTCTAAATCTTTGGCAAGCCTTAATCGCCTTTTAAGTCCATCAATTTTCTTTTCCAAATCTAATAATTTATTCTGATAGTAATCCATATTAGCATCATTGAATTGAGTTTGCGGAAGCCCAACACAGCTCTCAGTTGTAAAAGGCATCTCTAGTGGAACACTAGCGTCCATCCATGCACAATCTTCTGTTGTCGTACGAGGATCAAGGACCAAATCTTTCTGCAGTGAAGGACCTGTTTACACTTGTGGTGGCTGCGAGCCTGTGATGATTTATTGCCTGCAGCTGATCAACACTTTGTTGTTTTAGCGGAGGCTTGCTTGTGGCAACATCTATGGTTTGAATCAGAAGTGCAATGCAAGAAACCACATTTTTTAATTATATGCATAATTAACTTCTTGTTAAGTAGAAGAGAATGAGAAGTATTTTTACTTATTCAATTATATATATGGTTGGCTTTGAAAAATGGAACTTGGATCCAAGTATGAGAGTGAAATAATTTACCTCATCAAAAAAGAGTTCTGTGATGAATTCAGCTCTTTCAAATTAAGCATGGCCACTGTTTGACTCTATGAAGCTGTCATACCCTGTTTCGACTCTATTCGTTTACGTTACATCAAGAGTGTATTG